CCCCCTTGGCCTGCTGCATTGGCTGGGCTTTTCCTTGGAGCATGGCCCCTGGTGCTCCTGCCACTCCTACCTCCCTGCCCACCCCCGAAACCCCATCCCTCCAGCGGGACGAGAGTTCTGCCTTGGGTCTTTTTCAACATCCTCATCCAGATCAAGGCCCCATTGACATTGGAGAATTCAAGCTCAGCGGGGAATTCCATTACTTAACATTGAGCACTGACTAAGATTCTTTTTTTAACTAGACTTTTTTCTGAAAAATATACCTTATAGTGCAGAAACTGGACTGCATAATTTTTATTCTCATATTAATTAAATGTTCTAGGTATTTCTTTTTCTTAATTTGAAAAACAGGAGAAAAATGCATTCTGTTCTCTTCCTCTTTTGTTAAACCCAATCCAAATAAGCCAGAGTCATGTAAGTTCAATGACTGTGCTTCCCACGCTGGCCTGGGGTCTGAGACAGGCTGGTGCCCTGTTCGTGAGAACGCTTGCGAGTGGCGCTGCAGGCTGGTCTTCGGAGCCAGGTGATGTGTGTCTGTGGAGCGGGAGACAGCATGCTCGCGCTGGGGTCTGATGGGCCCATCTGTTCCCTTGGCACTGCTTCTGCTGTGTCTCTCCACCTCGGAGCCCTTGAAGTTGTTCTCTGTGGGGGTACACCTCCCCAAACATCCTGTCAGCCTGATATTTGCTTTCTGTCCTTCTGTCTTGCTCAGTTGTCCACCACCAGCAGAGGAAGAGGCCTTTCTCGGCCGTCCTGTTCAACATTGAAATCACTAAAGTCCCCTCCTCCCCAGCACTTTCCCTTCTCTCCCTGGTTGGTTTTTCTCCACAGCACTTACCATCATCAGATCACATACATTCCACTTGTCTTCTCTTCCCACTTGAGCCTCAATTTCATGAGGGAAAGATGCCTGTTTTAATTTATGTTGTATCAGTGCCTGGCATATGGTATGCACTCAATACTGGATGGATGGATGGATGGTTGGTGGACGGGTGGGTGGATGGGACTTCGGCCAAGTTTCTTGACCTGTGTAAGTTTCTATTTTCTCATGGATAACATGGCAACAATCCCTACCTTCCTGTAGGGAGATAGGCACGATGGCATTTTCCGTTTTCCATGCGAGGCAATTTGCTAACATCTGTAAAAATCATAAATGTATGGATCTTTTGGCTCAGTTACTCCACTGGGAGTTTATCCTGCAGGTGCATTACTCACACATGGGAGAAGTGCGTGTGTGCAAGGGCATTCGTTGCTACATAGATGTCCATCAGGGGGCACTTCCACAGTAAACCACAGTTTATCAAACAGTGGAATACTCTGCAGCCTTGGAGAAGAGTGAGTGTGCTGTCTTTGTGCGCACACAGACTGATGTACAAATACACTAGGAGGCTGGGCATGGTGGCTCATGCCCTTAATCCCAGCACTTTGAGAAGCCAAGGCAGGAGGATTGCTTTGCTCCCGAAGCCAGGAGTTTGCGACCAGCCTGGACAACATAGCAACACCCTGTATTTACAAAAAAAAAGACGTATTTTTAATCAGCCGGGTGTGGTGACACTCACCTGTAGCACCAGCTACTCAGGAGGCCAAGGCGGGAGGATTGCTTCAGCCTGGGAGGTCAAGGCTGCAGTGAGCTGTCATTGCACCCCTGCACTCTAGCCTCGGTGACAGAGCGAGACCCTGTCTCAAAAAAAAAAAAAAAATGGAATGAGAATGAGAAAGCAGAGGTGAGACAGTGCATAGTATGCTTCCTTTGGTGTGAAAAAGAGTGGATAAATGCGTATTCATAGTTGCCTTGTACACACACAAAGACACTCTGGAGAGAGAGATGAGAAGCTAGTATAGTGACTCAGGACAGAGGGGCTGGAATGGAGGAGAAGAATGTGAGTGAGGCTTTCTACTGTATACTTTCATGTGAATTATTAATGTATTACCTATTCACACAAAAAACGTATCTTGCAAAGTCATGTTGAGGCTTAGAGAGCATGGGTGTAAGCCTCTGCCAGTGGCTGGCACCCACAGTAGACACCGATGGGAAGTGAAGGCCAGCACCGCTGCTGTTGCTGCCCACAGACATTGATGTCTGCCTGCCACTCCCCCTGATATTGCTGAGACACGGCGCCCCCAGAGAAGCACACATTTTCCCTGGTGTCAAGTACATGATTGACAGAGAAAACCAGTGGGTAAGGCAAGTGAGAAACCCTTACCACAAAGTAGGTGGATCCAAGGTCCTTTTTTTGGTCTGCGGTTGCTTAAACTGGTGTGCTCAGTCCACCATTGCCAGTGTGTAACAGTAATGTTTGATTAGGCTCCCAGAGGAGGGCTGAAGTAAATTGGCACAGCATATTATCTGTAAGTTACATCCACGTGTCTACTTAGGGTAGTCTCAGTGCACCCTTTTTTTTTTTTTTTTTGAGACGGAGGCTGACTTTGTTGCCCAGGCTGGAATGCAATGACACGATCTTGGCTCACTGCATGCAACCACTGCCTCCCGGGTTCAAGTGATTCTCCTGCCTCAGCCTCCAGAGCAACTGAGATTACAGTTGTGCGCTACCACGCCCAGCTAATTTTTGTATTTTTAGTAGAGACAGGGTTTCACCATGTTGGCCAGGCTGGTCTCGAACTCCAGACCTAAAGTGATCCACCCTCCTCGGCCTCCCAAAGTGCTGGGATTACAGGCGTGAGCCACCATGCCCGGCCACAGTGCAACTTTTTAATACAGGAGTGAAGGTTTTTCATGTGTTTTGTCATTGCAGTAACGTTTATTTTTAATGGTGCTATAACTGTTCATACCTCACCATTGCAAAGCAATACTGTTTTTACTTGATGATATTCATTTTTGAGTTCTCATGCAGTTTTTTGTTGCGTTTTTTAAGGCCCAAAATAAAATTTACTCCTAATCATGCTGCTAGAAGTTTTTATGTCCTTAAATTTCTCCATGCATGATGAATAGAGTAACAATGAAGTGATCCTAGAAAAACTGGGATTTGATTTGGTTCTGGTGAAATGTAAGGTGCAGGAATTGGGAGCCACTGTACCACAATCAGGACAGCAGTCTGGCTCCCCAGGCCTGAGTTAGCTGGTGTAGGCCTACCTGACAAGGCCAGCGATGGAGTGAGCTGTGGACACCCTTAGGCCCTGGGTGATCAGGTACAGTAGTGTTTGTGGAATCAAGAGTGCTGGGGTAGCCTGGGCCCGGTGGGCACAGCAAGGTCTGGCAGAGCTGTGATGGGGGAGTGGAGGCCTCTTAAACCACCGTTCACCATCACCATCATCCTTGCACCTCCCTCTACCACCAAAAAAAAACCCTGCTCTGGCCATGTAAATTATCTCTCTAACCCCTTGCTGAAAAAGTTGCACAAAGGTCTAACGGAAACCCTGCCAGAGCAGCGCTAGGTTTTTAGGTTGTTGGCATTAGTGCAGGTCAGGTGCTGTTTATAGGTAGGTCACCAGACAGGAGGGTAGAGGCGGGGGATGAAAATATCGGCTGTGTCCCCAAGGCTGGCTTGCAACGTGCCTGTTAATTTAAGAGGGCCTGCCATGCCATTTTACAGCAGTAAGCAGGGACACCTGCTGCTGAGTAACCTTTGCCCAACACATGGTCCCCAGCCCTGGGGCCATATGCTGTGTGGCGTTCAAGCCTCCATTCTTCCTGCCTGGGGTCATTTGTTAGCAACCTGCCTTCTAGGGTCTAATGTTCATGCAGTGAGCTTGCATGGCTCATTAATTTCTTTTCCAGTCGTTCTTTTAAAAATCAGGTCGTCTTATTTCTGTAATTCTCTGTAAAGATGTAGCACACATGGTGGGCACATGGCCTCAAAGCCACCCAGGCAGAAATTGGCATGCTTCTTGGCAGATTCTGCCCCCGTGTGCCCAGTACCCCTCTGGGACTTGAGCCAGGAGCTCCCCACCTGTTAGGTGAAGTGGTGGTGTTCAACTTACCTGGGGCTGCTGGGCTTCTAAAGGGACACTGTGACTGGGGAGATGGTGCAGTAGAGAGCATTTGGCAGTAGGAGTTTCTAGGTAGAACTTGGGAGTCTTGGAACTTCCGGACGCGTTCTGGTGATGTGATTTTGCGCTCAGATGGTCTAGAAAGGGACCGCCCCTGTGGAAGCCGTTGCACTGGCAATCCCCATCGCAGGATTGATTGGCAAGCAGGGAAAGAGACTTGTGCCTTTGGTGGGGTGGGTTGGGTATTTTTGCCCTTTGTTATTTGGGTTTTAAAGGCAAGACTACTGACATGTGCCTGTTAAAGAAACACGTCGGTCAGGGGTCCAAAGTTAGCATGGAGCAGAGTGATGGTGGTGAGACACACACTCCCGAATGAATCATCAGTGTATCTCTCTCAATGCCAGCAGAGAGGGTTTCGAGGAGGTGCTTATGGAGATGCACATGGGGCGGTGCGTGGGAGTGAGGCGGCCTCGGTGGGCCCAGGCTCTGTTTTGGAGTTGTGTGTGCTGCCAGCCGTGGGCTGCGGATTTCACTCCCCACCTTCGAGCCGCCAGAGCAGAGGGGCAGATGGAGCCAGCCCATGACTTACAGTGACAGTAAATGCAGAGAAACCCATTAGGGTGACACAGAGCTCTCCTGGCTGTGAGGACTCAGAGACTTTACCTGCGGGTCATCATAGAGGGGATGCCACATGTAGATGCAGTGACCCCCAGATTCAGACACTCCTACTGTTAAGGAAGAAAGATCCCAGCAGGGCTGTTCCCTCCGCAGTGAATCCTGGGCCTGGCATAGCGTCTGGCACTTTGTGGCCCCTCTGCAAATATTTGTTGGCTGCCTGACTTCCTCAGCCTCACACTGGTTTTAGAAAGTAATTCTAAATTACTCCAAAAAGGCCAAAATGCTCCTTGCTGGCTTGGCTGAGTGCAGGATAAAATGTGGAGGGCCTGGATGGACTTGCCCCTTCCTACCGGGAAGCACACAAGTTTTCTTGCTGGAAAAGTAGACCTTTGAGACTTCTCCGTGTGCTAACTTATTCTCCTTTGTCTTCACAGAGACTAATAGACAAGTCACGAGTTACCTGTGTCAAATGGGTTCCCGGTTCGGAAAGCCTTTTCCTAGTAGCCCACTCGAGTGGGAGCATGTACTTATATAATGTGGAGCACACTTGTGGCACCACAGCCCCCCACTACCAGCTTCTGAAGCAGGGAGAGAGCTTTGCCGTGCACACTTGCAAGAGCAAATCCACGAGGAACCCTCTCCTTAAGTGGACGGTGGGCGAGGGGGCCCTCAACGAGTTTGCTTTCTCCCCAGATGGCAAGTTCTTAGCGTGCGTGAGCCAGGATGGGTTTCTGCGGGTGTTCAACTTTGACTCAGTGGAGCTGCACGGTACGATGAAAAGCTACTTTGGGGGCTTGCTGTGTGTGTGCTGGAGCCCGGATGGCAAGTACATCGTGACAGGTGGCGAGGACGACTTGGTGACAGTCTGGTCCTTTGTAGACTGCCGAGTAATAGCCAGAGGCCACGGGCACAAGTCCTGGGTCAGTGTCGTAGCATTTGACCCTTATACCACTAGTGTAGAAGAAGGTGACCCTATGGAGTTTAGTGGCAGCGACGAGGACTTCCAAGACCTTCTTCATTTTGGCAGAGATCGAGCAAATAGTACACAGTCCCGGCTCTCCAAACGGAACTCTACAGACAGCCGCCCCGTAAGTGTCACGTATCGGTTTGGTTCCGTGGGCCAGGACACACAGCTCTGTTTATGGGACCTTACAGAAGATATCCTTTTCCCTCACCAACCCCTCTCAAGAGCAAGGACACACACAAATGTCATGAATGCCACGAGTCCTCCTGCTGGAAGCAATGGGAACAGTGTTACAACGCCCGGGAACTCTGTGCCACCCCCTCTGCCACGGTCCAACAGCCTTCCACATTCAGCAGTCTCAAATGCTGGCAGCAAAAGCAGTGTCATGGACGGGGCCATTGCTTCTGGGGTCAGCAAATTTGCAACACTTTCACTACATGACCGGAAGGAGAGGCACCACGAGAAAGATCACAAGCGAAATCATAGCATGGGACACATTTCTAGCAAGAGCAGTGACAAACTGAATCTAGTTACCAAAACCAAAACGGACCCTGCTAAAACTCTGGGAACGCCCCTGTGTCCTCGAATGGAAGACGTTCCCTTGTTAGAGCCGCTGATATGTAAAAAGATAGCACATGAAAGACTGACTGTACTAATATTTCTTGAAGACTGTATAGTCACTGCTTGTCAGGAGGGATTTATTTGCACATGGGGAAGGCCTGGTAAAGTGGTAAGTTTTAATCCTTAATGCTGCACCAGATCTAGAACTTGAATAGGTAGTGACTTTTTTTTTTCCCGTGGGAGGGGTGGGGTGTACAATGAATGTGAATGACACTTCTTATTCTTAATGTAAATCTAAATGCATCAGAGCCATAATTTTGGATACTGCATGCCATGTAATTCTGAATCATTTGATAATTTACCTTAGAGCATTTAAAAAAATATAATCAAACTAATTGCCAGCCAAGTCAGTCATCCTCCTGGGAGTATATAGAGTCCCAAGGTTAGCGCTCCTGTATTAGACTATTTCAACTTTAGGAAAATCATGACCGTGTGGGGAAACAATGACTTTAAAATGCTGAAATTAAAATTTATGCTTTAACTGGAATATTTTTGCTTAACTACTCAATTAGAATATTGTACACCTGATCAGTGTGTTCAGCACAGATGGCCATGAATTGTCATTTATAGTCCAATTTTTTATCTTAATCATAAAATGTTTAGGAATCTATGAAATTTAACTTTAGGAACAAAAAGTTTCGCAGGGTTGATTGATATTATTTTTACATTGTTCTGGCAATCCACAGAAAGAGAAGAGCCTTAATTTTTAAAACCCATTTTAGTCATTTTATGACAATTAAAGTTGTTTAATAAACATCTTTTTTCAAAGAAGCAGTTTGTAGCACTTTGATTGAGATTCTGTGCATAAAATACCCACCTCACTGAGAGCCCGGACAGTTCGTAGGAGCTGCGGGCCGAGGACGCCAACAGCGTTGCAGAAGTGCCTCTTGCCGCATAAGCGAAGACCTTTTATGTCAGACGCACTTTGCTTGTGTGTTTTCCCAACAAGGGAAAAGGAGTTTTTTGGTTTTTTGCTGGGGGGAGGTGCGGTGGGGGAGGGGGATTGGGTCAGAAAGGCACGTGACTCCTCCGCTCTGTGAGACCCCCCAGGGCTTCCGACTTCTCCCTTACGTGGGCCTTGTTTGGACTTAGTACCCCCCAGAGGAAGCACAAGTGCAGCTTTCCCCTTTCCTTGTTGTTGGATGGCAGCTGTGGCTCCGGGATGACTCTTGGGATGCCGACGCTGGCCATGTGCTTAGGCTTCGTCCTCAGTGGCTCCCACCCCGGCGCCGCAGCCCAAGGCCTGGTGGCCTGTGGCTTCCTCGGCAGTGGGGGGCTCTGCTGCCTCCCTGGAGGCCGCAGTCTCACCCTCACTCCCTGCTGCTGCACAGGGAGCTGCTTTTCCAATTCCAGTTTTCACAGTGGGTGAGATGGCCCCTTGAACTCCATGTTCCATGTCAAGATGGTGGTTATCTTCCTTGTTAACTCGTTTTGTACATTGAGGTTTTTCTGGTGTGCACACCTTTGTCATGAAATCTAGAGAGAACGATCCCTTACACCGGTTTGCCTGGTGAATGTGGCTCCGCAAAGCCAAGACCTGGTGGCTTTTCTTTCTCCGCAGTGTAAAGACCCTGGTAGCTGCAGCAGCCGCTCCCTGTGCTCTTAACGCAGCCCTCCCAGGAAAGCCGGCCCAGGTCCCCAGGCCTGCTTCCCATCAGCAAACATGTCACGGTGGAGCCACCCGCCCTGTGCCCATCGTGGGCCTTAACGCAGTGGTTTCTCTTCAGTGTGATGGCACGGCAGCATGCTGCCACCTGGGAACCACAGCGGCCTTCAGGTGCATCTCGCCTGTCTGTGCCTTTCACATCCCTGAGCACTACTTCTAGGAATGTTCGCATCCTCTTTACCTGTGGAATACAGGCCTTTGTTCCTAGAGGTGAACTGATCTAAGGTAGCCATGACAGCCATCCTTGTGGACAGCATCCGCTTTGGAGGCCAAATTGGGTCATGTGGAGAGATTAGTAATGAACCCTCCATGTGCAATTTTATGCACCTACATAGTTGTAAACATTCAGTTTCAAATGCTTCTGAGGCATTGAGTATGCAGTTTCAAAATTCAGGACTTAGTATTTGGCCTAAATAGAGAGGGGCTGATCCCAGGTAAGTAGCATTTATGGTGACATTATGGCGACCTTGCGGTTCTGAAGGTGTGTCCCACGGACAGGGAAGCCATGGGGGTGTGGCCCGAGTAACCAGCGTGACCGACTGGGTACTCTCTGATTTCTCCCCGCTCTCTGTCATTCTCAGTCGCAGTGGCTGGGATGAAAGAGGGATTACAGGGGTGTACTGACTGACAGGTGACTTAGGAGTCATTTGCTGATAGGAACCAGGGGTGGGAGAGGCAAGAGGACGAGGTTGTGTTTCCTTTGAAAACAGCTCTGAAGGGTGCTACCTAGTATGGAGGCCTGTGTGTGTCTTCCCCTCCCACCTCCGGTTTTAAACACTGTGATATTGTCAGTTTGGGATTGGGGGCTTGATCACAATCTTTTTCTTCCAGTTTTTGCCAAGGAGTGTACTGTCCTTAATGTCTGTCTGGTACCTTGTCTGGGGCCCCTTTATTGTGTCTCCGTGCCCTCCCCAAGGCCCCTCTTGCTGGGTTCAGAGCCCAGTGGACAGCACTGTGCCAGCCTAGGGAGGGGCTGCCTTTGACTGCATGGCCCGACCCCTGGCTCAGCCCAGGCTGGCCCAGGCCCTGCAGGGTGACACCACTCTGCGTCCACTCTGCCCCTCTGACTGCTGCCCCTTTCTTTGACAGCCGGCAGAGCACTTCTGCAGGCAGGAGGACAGGATGCAAGGTGTTCTCCAAGACCAGAACTAAAGGTGCCCGACAGCTTGAGAAGAGGGCCCTGGAGAGAGGGCGGGGAGGCGCCCTCCTCCTCGGCTGTGCTGCTGAGTAACGGCTCCCGCAGACCTGGGGAGGGCCGGGGAGGGGCGGCAGCGGTGGTTCCTGATACCAGGTGTGGAAGGTACAACACGCGCTGCTAACCCTAAGAGAAATTTGGGGAAAATATTTGTGTTTTTCTCACCAAACTTTGAGCTTCCTCATTGAAATTTTTCAGTTTTTCAGCCTAAACATTATTATGAGCAAGAATATCTTTTCTAACCTAATCTCTGGAATAAAACACAGCATTTGGCAAGAAGAGGCTGTTAACTACTCAGTCGGCATCACTGTTCCAGCGTGTACCAAGCCACAGAGATGAAAAGCTCAGATGAAAGTCAGGTGCATGCTGCCTGGCTGGAGAATCCCGCTCCCACCCGGCACGGGGGTGAGCTGGGCCCTGGGCGGTGTCAGACGCCTTCTGAAGGGGCCAGGCCAGGGCCAGGGGAGCCTCTACTTACCCTACTTGGGTTGGCCTTTTTCACCGGAATTCAAGAAGCCAGGTTTGTGCCGTTACTGTGATGGGGCAGGCTTCCAAACACCACCGGCAGCCCTGGAGCCTTTCTCTGAGGCGTTTTTCTTCTTCAGAAGGGGAAATAAAATTCCCCCAGAGGCCTGGAGAAGGGAGCCTTTGGAAAAGCTTGCCTTCTTTTAAAAGCAAATTCATGTGCAGGAGTAGATGCTTTACAAATAACCAATAACCTCGGGGTTGAAATTTGCTTAAATCATGGTAAAGGATCTCATTTCTCTTTTGTGCTGATTGAACCTTCTAGCAATTTGGAAGTGTTCTTCTGTGAACCCTTAACTGGGGACTGAGGGCAAATGCCTTAGAAATGGAGGCGTGGAGAATCAGAAAGGAGCTATCACAATGATTCTTGTCTCACAGGCATTCAGGAATTCTGAGGAAGAATTGCAGTGACAGGACAGGAGTTTTGGCTCTCCACTGGCTGACTTCACCCCCAGGGCCCAGCTGGCACGTGGCCAGGCAGCCGTTTCCCCCATTTCCTCCACTTCCTGGGGTTCATTTTAAATATTAAAGAAATTGTGAAGTATGAAATTAGTGCTGAAGTTGCCTGAGTACAAGGTCCTCATCACCTCTTGCCGGGGAGGGAGACATTTCCTTTCTTTGTTGAGCGAGCTCAAAGTGTGAGGAGGAGAAAGCCTAGGGGGTGCGGGCGGCTGGAGAAGGGATCCACGGAAACCCAAGCGCCACCTCATGCATGTGTGACTGCCCAAGGAAGAACTAGAAGCAGTTCACCTGTGGATTTTCTGGGGAAGGATTCATGGAACACAGCGTCTGGCGTCCAGCTCTGTGGGTGAGGGCATGGCGGGGGATCCGGCGGCCCTGCCCTGCCTCCGGCGCCGGTGGATGGGGGAGGGATTAGCCTCTGACTGTGGGGTTGCACCATGAGGGTCGGTGTGCCCTCGGCTGAGGGTTCGCTCCTTAGCAGTGAAGAACGTCCACGTGCGTGGGTAGGGGTCGGGTGACCTGGAGACGCCGCCTCCGGTCTGGTCTGGGTGACAAAGGTGAAGGTTGATAGTCTGCCGCCCTGGTGGCAACCTGCAGGGCCCCCTTGTCTGGAGCACGCCCTTCGCCACGGGCCGATTGGGACTGTCATGTGTTGCTTTAAGTTAACAAGGTGCACACCACAGTGACCCCAAGTGATGTCCCAGAGGGAGGAGACATGAGTCTGGTGGAAGTGAAGTCTGTGGCTTTATATTGAAAAGCACTCTATTCAGCTGTTACCTTTGAAACTCAGAGCCTAGTTACAGACTGTAAGAACGTGCCCTCCAGAAGAGGGAAACTGCCTCTCTGATGTTGGTTTTTTTATTCATTTCTGCGTCTCTTACCCGAACTTTGTGTCATAAATTACTATCCCTTCATTTGAAAGTGTAAAAGAAGAATTTCCTGCATTTTTATCATTTCTGTATACTTGAGTTTATTAAAGATTGTTATGTTAGGCGACACTGTATAAAATTGTATGGGTATTTTGAGTGAAAATCAAAAGTCAAATTCACATGTATTTCCTTTTTTATATTTTCATCTAATTTCTTGACAACTTGAATAAATTTCATAAAGAGCCTTCCTAACATGAAGTATTGGTAAATTAAATTCTTAACTGTTGCAATAATTAATGAAGCTTTAATATCAGTATTGTTATTTTATAATTTTAAGGAAATCATGTTTCTGTTTCACAGCTTTGTTTTTTAGCTGTTCCCTTGTCACTGTC